ATTCACTATCAGGTTTTTGTTTCGACCCATCCGCACTTCAAAAATGAAACACATGAATGACACTAAAAGTCCTAATCCCAAAAATTGAAATGCAAATACCAAAGAATCCAAAGTGAGTGGTTTAACAAAAACTTCTGCTCTAGCAGCTTTTCGTTTAGCTTCAATGACAAAGTTCTCTGTCAACTGCTCAGTCCATAATTCAGACAGGCCTGCTTCGCGAATATGTAATAAAAGCTCATCAAGACGATCTTTTAATGGCCAATCATCTCGAGTTACATATGTGTAATAATTATAGCTTATAGGGGACTTAGAAAGGTGTAAATTATGTTCTAAAGATGGATGTAACAAGAACATATAGTCCTCTATGCAAGCTGACGTTTTACCAGTAATAACATGTTGAATACATATAAAAGCATCATCTGTAATAATGTTTTTATCTTTCAGTACTTCATTTTGAATTAATGGTGCTGTTGAAATTGTTGTTGCAAATGATTTTATATAATTTTCTGCTAAATCTGAAATTTTTTCAACATTATCACGTTGTGCTACACCTGTTAGAAAAGTTTTGAATCGACCGAGAAACGTAGCTTGGAGAATTAGAAAGTAAATAAAGATTACACTAAAAAAAATTCTCATTGGCCGTTTTACTATTCGAGTAACAAGACCTGCTCCGATAAAAAGACGTAGTATTTCCAATACCGCATAAGATGTGTTTTTCTGTGTAGCTTTCATCACAACAGCCATCACTATGAGTATAAGAATGAATGTGAGAAGAAAGATCCATACGCTATAGAATCTAAGAATCTTTTCTAGTATGCTTTGTTCACCAGTACGAACTGCCATGATGTAGTAGGCAGAGAACATTGAAGGATTGGTAACAGATAGTTTGTAACCGATGCTAGGACTTGTGGGATATAGACTCAGATCTGCTGTTCCTTTATCTAAGCGTCTAAAGAGTTTTGCTGAATCTATAGCAATATTTAAAGGCATATTTTCAAAGACTATTTCCAATGACATATTCATATTTGTCATGATAGAAGTAGCCATTGCTGCCATTTGTGGAAATAGTGGCAATTTTAGAATACTTTCGTTATAAGTTTTTCCCGGTTCAAGAGCTATTCTATCGTTTGGATTGAATAAAAATGGCATAGTAATTTTCAGAACAGATCCATCGAGGTTCAAGGTTCGGTCGAAATATAATTCCGAACAGAAATCAAACTCTGTAAAAAAAATTCTGGTTGATAATCAATTCTGTTTGTATGGTACTTAGAGTCGAAAAATAAGACCTGATTTGATTTCTTTCCCTTCAATTTTCAAATTTGCTAATAGAATTCGATCTGATTGAAAAATCTAGACCTAGTTTGGCTGTAGCTATTTAGAATGAGATTATAATTCGTTTTATACTTTACTCAGAATCAAGTCTTGACTACAAATGACCTGATATGATACTTGAACGTATTCTGATGAAATAAAATTTTTTTGTTTCTATCTGGTTTTGACATTATTTCATAGTCGAAGCCAGATTTTATTTTTCGACTCCGGATATTGAAATTGGAAAATCAAACAATTACCATCGGTATGCACTCGGTAAAATGCTGTCCACTTATCATATTGTTTAACAGTACTTACCACTGTTGTCCAATGAGGATAAGGTATATCAGAGTAAGGATTAAAAATATAAACAGTTGGCTTTAAATCTGGATCAAGACACAAAAAGTATGTCATTATGAGATTAGCTTTTGAAGCTGTTTTCAGGAAACGTGGTGCATCTTTGCATCCTCTTTCCAATTTGTACAAGATAAAGAAGGGAACACTTATTTTCCAATATGGACTTCTTTTATATGTAATCAACATTTTTTTATAGTCATCCATTGTAGAATTAAAATTCATAATATATCCTTTTATATCCGTTCGATCTTTTTTGGGATATAGAGGAATTGTACCTTGCCATTGAATCAGTGGGAAGCTGATTGGGTCTTCATCCCATAATGACTGTATCAAATTATCATTGTCGTAATTAATCACCAAAGTTCCTCGTCCAAAATCACAATTTTTTATCATAAATATCTAAAAAAAAATGTCAAATAATTAAAAAAATAAATATGAATGGAATTTTTAGAATTCTGAAATTGATGATAATTTTATCTTACTAGCATTTTTTTTAGAAGCGGATAATAATCTTGAATTTCTTGATCAGCATTTACTGAATCTTTCAAACCAAAAAATACAATACAATACAGTACACCCACCAACGTAAATATAAAGAATTTTTTCATGTTTATTTTGAAATAATATTTTGTTTATCTTTTTTACTTAAAGAGTGATTCTCGACTGACAATGAATCTCCATGAAAAAATGGAATGCCTCTTGATAGTAAAGTAGATATCAAAAGAATGAATTGAGCCATTTTTGTTATTGCATTACAATTTTCTAACTAAAAGCATTTCTACGATGTCATGCAAATATTGGTTTTCAAAATTGAAAACGATTACAATCAACATGCAACAATAGATGTACATTATAGAAAAATTTAAAATCAAAATACTAGTATTGTTTAGGATTCAAATCACAAATTATAGAGTTCTTCCTACCTAAATCCAAGAATAATAATAAATGTTGTTACTGTTTAAATGAATGCAGATAATTTTTGTTGGAAAAAAACATTAGGATTTCTGAATAAAGGCTTCTATTGAATTTATTATCTTGAAATGGAAGAATCTTGCGTGCATGGAATCCAATGACAGCGATATTTTAAAAGTTTCAATTCCAAAATCCTTCAATGATTTTAATAATTTATCAACTTGGAGAATTAGTTTCTCAAAAATCTTCATAGACATTAGCAAAGTGATCTTCTTCTTCTCCATTGGTATTGAATTGGATCAAAATAATTAAATATGTCATAATTGTATTACTAATCTGTAAATTGAATTTTAAGTATGATCCTTTTTTCAAAAAATCTTAGTTCAAACTTACCAAATACAAAAGTGAATTATCCAAAGGGAAAAATTCATAAGCCGAAAATTGCATATTTTTATCTAGCAGTTCAACTGAAAATTGTCTCAACTAAAAATTAAATTTCCCAAGTCGTCAATTGCTTTCTTTATACTTTAAGGTCCACAATTAACTAATTAGAATCAGAATAAACTGGGATCATACCTGTAACTTCTGTTTATCATGAATGTTTGCTGTGTTCAACAGCTTATGCACCATATGAACAGTTGTTCTCATCTAGAATTGAATAAAAGGATCAAATGTTTGTCTTCAACTAAATCAATTATTTAGCATAGCTTTTGTGATAATTATTAACAATTGTACAAACCTCTTCCATTAAATTAGTAATTTTATTAGTCAGAGTTATAATGGGAAATACCTCTGTAGCTAAGTAGAACAATGAATTACTAATAATCATAAACGCTAAATATGATTGAATATGCATGTAAGTTGTTATACAATAATATGATGTAATAATAATAGTTACACAAAAATAAGTTACTATCATCAGCGTTGGTATAGAAAAAAAATCAGCCAACTCTTTAGAAACTTCATATAATAAATTATGCATATACTTGAGAAGAGTGATATCATCAGATAACTTGAAATCATCAAGTTTATTTATTTTATTAACAAGTTTACAAATGGAATGATTAAAACTTTTATATCGAGTTTGCAACATATTCACCATAAATACATATTGCATTATGAGCCAGGAACTTATGAAATTGGGCCCATTAAAACACCACCATACCCAACTAAGAGGGAAATCGATGTAATAATCAGACACAACTACCAAGATCCATGTTACTAAATTGATGATACAAAGTATAAGATAGTTATATTTCACAGGTTTGATGGAATAAATATGATGTAATTTAAGAATCATATTGGTATCAATGCTGACTAGTTTATTTAATATTATCACTGCTTTCTTTTGATTTACCCACAATAATGTCCATGTACTTATTAACACAATACACCCTAGTGCAATTTTAAACTTGAGAATAGCTTTGGTAAGCTGAGTTTCGTTTGTAGTAAAAGCATTATCTGCATTCAGTGAAAAAATATAGTAAAGAGTTATGTGGATTATGATGAGGAAGAAATTATATATACTTCCAAGATAAGAACACGTGCAGTAAGGAATATTTTTTCTAGCAATATGACGTTTAGCTGTTATTGAAAATGGTTCTAATCCAATAATTTTATAGAATAAATAGGCCATTTTAACTTTTTTATTATATTCAAGCATAATTTAAACCCAATGGTGGAAGAAAGTATAATTTTTAATATTCAGTCAACTAAATTGAAATGGTTGACAGGACTTTGGCTCTAAACTTGACAGTATGAAAAAGTGGTCACTTATTTATTTTTATTGTCAGTCGTAAAAGTGGTTAGTTATATTTTTTGTTTGCTAATCTACTATCCAATCATGGCCATTTTCCATTAACATTGTTATTTTACATTTAAATTAGAAAGACTAGCGGTAGTTGACTTTGATGACTCTGATAGATTAGCATAGACATATTTAAATTATTTGTCATATGTTTTTATTGATCAAATGTTTTAGTGCTGCTTTGATGGAATATTCAGTAGTTTAAAGAAAAATAGTATAAAAAAATAACTAATTGCAACATAAAAATAAGTTAAAAATTTTTATGAACAATAAATTAGAATTAATATTTGCTGACAAGTTGGAGTTTTTTATTGATTGCTTTTCATAAACAGAAATAAAGTCAATAATAAAAATTACTGTTAGAGGTTAGAATATTTCTATAAAATAATAATGCAGGTAATTTAAAAATCAAAATAAGTATTAATTATAATCAAACGAATTCACGGTGATGTAAATATTACGAAAAACTTTGCTTGGTCTAGACTACCGCAATTACATGGACTTAAAACTAGAAAAGGAAGGGAGAGAGTGTTAGAGACATTTTCAGAAGTGCTCCCTCCAAAATATATAGACGTCATTGTTTAAATTTCAGTAATCATATTAAACACAAAAATGGTTTGAATGATTTAATTTTATGTACAGTTTGATATTTTATTTTTACATTATTGTTATTTTAAAATATTAGCTCAGTTGAGTTAAATTTATTCCAGGTCTAGCTCATCTCTTATTGGTGGAAGCTTTCTATAAAAAAACCCATTTTTATTTTATTAAGAATTTAATGAACGATATATTTTTATTAGTAAGAATAAAAATGAATTATTCAACTCACTTTTTAGCTAGAAGATTAACCAAAAAAAAACGAAAATTTCCAAATGGTATTTTTTTCTGTTCAACAAAAGTGATGTAATAATGTGCAATACTATTAATTATCAACAATCTGAAAAGTTTAAATACGTACTTCGATAGTATGAGCCAAATCTTCCTTATATATATAGCTGTAAGTGTTACAAATTTGTTGGGAGCTAACAGTTCTCTCCATAAGAGCTAAATGCAGTAAGCTATTATAATCTACCTCAGATCCTGTTAAACTCTCATGCAATCTCCTTGCAAAGTAAAGTTTTTCGGATTGAGAATATTCGACTGTGGACAAAAAATTTAATTTAAAAAATTGAATAAAAACTTTTTGTTATTAAAAACGAAATTTATTAACTGATTGTCCCGAGAGCTCTTTGAAAAGCCCCTTCATATTTTTGGCTCATTATATCGTCTAGTGTTTCTTTTGTCTTATTTCCAAATGATAATATAAGTTGGAAAAATTTTTCGTCACTATTTTCTGATAAATACATCATAAGTTCATCTCCTTTCAAGGACTTCAGAGGACCTATCAATTAAATAAGATATTTCTTCTTATAATGTGATATAAAATTATTAAATATCATATTTTATCTTTAAATGAACGTATTCTTGCTTCAATTACCAATTTGTTTCATGATATAGGTTTTTCGTTTAGAGACACATAATAACATAAGTTTTTGAAAATTTTCTGGTTGCAATATATTTAAATCATCCTTCAAGCATTTCTTATTAGCATCTATAACATAGTTGATATTCTTTGATTCTTTGTTATAAATTAGTAAAATTAAAAAATTCACTTACATTGAGGATATACTTGAATAATATTGTTGAGTAGAGGATCGTCAAAAATACATAGAGAATCAATAAGTGCATTGTGTTGTGTATTATTATTGTGAATGCATTGACTTATTTCTTGGGCATAAAATTTATGTAGAGGTTTCATAAAAGCATCTAATGCGTATTGAAATTTACCAGAAAATGTATTTTTCAAATCCTCTAGTAAACTTACGTTATAGGTAGAGAAATATTTTTCTTCAAGTTGTTCTCGTTCTTCAGCAGTAGTTGATGTTAAAATTGTTGAAACAATCCTTCCATTTGGATCAGAAGCATTGGTTGCTCTATGAAGGTATCTAACGTCAAAGTCTATCAATGCAGATGGAAAATTTAATTCGGGTTCAGGTGTTGATTCATATGTAATTAAAGAAACTGATGATATTAAGGCCATCAGAGCCACAGTAAACCATAGAAGATACATTTTGACTGTAATATCACAACTTTTTTTATCTTTATAAATAATATATAACATATGAATAAAATATTGGAATCTTATCTCACAAGTATGTGGAATCGAATAAAAATATTCATTAGCTCACTTCAATAAAATTTAATCAAATGAATAACTATTGTGTTGACACAATCACTATGTATTTGTTCATTTAATTTTTATGACGCTGAATTTTTATCTTATCATAAACAAATAAAAATGAAAAATAAAGAGCAAGAGCATAGACTTATAATAAAATGAAAATAACAAAGATTACACCAGAAATATTATGGATTTTTTTTTTTACTCATGGGAAAATTACAGCTTTGCATATTTGTAGTTTTAGATATTTTTAGACATTCTTTGTCGATATTTTTTCATCATGTATTTTAGAATAGATTATTTGAAATAGTTCTATGGACTAACATGAATAAATTATACTCTGTTAATCAAATATAAGATTAATTTTACTTCAGAATATTTGACATTTAAAAATAGAGACAATTTTCGACAGAAAAAAATTTTATTTATCAAATTCAATTACAACTATGATACTACAATCTAGTTGTATACAAAATGTATAAAGAATAAATATTACAATTGCAAAAATTATCAAAATTTTCTAGAAATTCGCCATCTAGATAAATTAACATTTTGTATTTTATTGCTAATTATTCATTGTTATTATAAAGAAGAGATCTTGAAAAATTATTATGTATCACCAAGTTGATTATTATCATATCAAATACTTGATTAACATGTTTTCAAAACTTACATGCTACAATAATGTTATCTTATACAATAAAAATTTAATTACTAATTGATACTTGATGATATAAGCATTGTTATTAAATATACTGGTAATGTCATGAATAATTAAAATAATGGTTATTATTATTATAAGCTTCTAGAGCTTTTTTTTCACTTAATTTTATTCCTTGAAAAAATGATTAGCACAATTCAGATTTCGATTCACATTCTAATAAAAAGTGCTTGAATTAATTTCCGGTAGTTGCCAGGTGGTAATTTATTCTGCAAAGTAGAAAAATATAATTAATAATGTAATTATTGATAATAATTTTATTTATATACAAATAAAATATGTAATAAAAATGTATAAAACTCACTGATAAAACTTCATCAATATTCTTATGATATTTTTTTTGATAAATATCTCGAATTCCTTCATAGCGAACTTTTTTTCCCATCAAGATTAAACGTATCAAACTACGATGATCCACACAATGTCTCTCCAAACTATCATGGAATCTTTTTAGAAAGTAGAGTTTCTCAGACATTGCATAATTAACTGTTAACAAATATTATTTTTTTATGAATAATTTATAATTATTTATATATTTAAAACTTTACTGTAATATTTTTCTGATTATTTATTTACTTACGAATGGCCATGAGTGCTCGTCTAAAATCTCCACTAGAGTTTTCTTTAATAATGTCTTCTAATTTTCTTCCATACCAAGGTTTATGTTTCATTCTCATTTGATGTATTTCTTCAAGACTCGTTAGTGCAAAATAGGAGATAAAATCGTCATCAGTGAAGCCATTAGAAAGCTCTGAAAATTCAATAAATTATTTAACTAAAGTATCAAAATTTATATTGAATATTTTTCAAGTAATTAAATTACTTACTGGTGGCGTAATCATCTATTGAAATTTTGTTTGTTCTCATATTATGAACGCACGAAATCATTAATTTTCCAAAGCTTCCTGCTGCATTTACTCTTATTTCATAGTCCATGTTCGTATCATACACTGTAATATACAATAACGAGATGAAATAAAAATAATTATTTATTAAATAATATTAATTAATGTTAAAAAATATTCTACTTACATAATCCGTACATGTTTCTCACTTTATCCAGCATCGTAGTATTGAAAAGACATAGAGTATCAATGAGTGCTGTTTCATCAGAATGAAAACCATAGATAGCATCATGGATTTCTTGAGCCAAAAACTGATCTATAGGTGTCATTATAGCAACTACTGTTTCTTCTAATTTGCCAGTCAGTTTATTTCTCAAATCATTCACTAAACGGGTACCATAAGCCCGTTGATATTCTTGAGCAAGCAGCTGACGATCTTGGCTTTTCAATCTTGCTAAAATTTCAACAATTTTGATTTCATTTGGTATTACACTTTTAAGAGCCTTATGAATTTCTTCTACATCTTCCTTTCTATAGTATGGAGATGGTATTATGTTGAAAGAGTTATAATATCCTTTTAATGGGCTGAAATCAATTTCCCAAGTAGCTCCCAATACTAAAGATCCGTTGACAAGCCAAAATGTCAGCAAAAATAATTGATGGGCTTTCTGGAATTCAAAATAATTTTATTAATAATTAATTATTTTCAATCACCAGTTATTTTATCTACAAACATTAGTTAATTTGTTGGAAAAAATATTAATAAATAGTTAAAGGAGAATTTTGTTATGCAAGAAAAGAATCAAAATTTTCGATAATTGTTTTTAATAGACAATTTTCATTCTTGTGTGAATATTCTTTATTTAAAATAAGTTTAAAAAATAGAATAATAGCAATACTTACCATCGTAAAAAACAATTGTTAATACAATTAATAAAGGAATTGCCGTGTTTCAAGTGTCTTCAACAATCCTTTACGAGAAATAAACTGACTGGCACTGCAGTAAGGTTCGATGAAATACCTCCGAATGAATAACTGCCAAATAAACACGACTATTTGTTTTGAAGTCGAACCTTGCATTATTGGAATAAACATATTATAGAAGAAAGGCAAGAAAATAAGCCTATGAAAAGAAAGTTATTGATACTAATATTTTTGAATTTGAATTATTTGATGTAAATAACATTTACTGTTATTGTTATCGTGGTATTGAAAAATTTTAACTGATAAAGTTTTTGATATTTACAAGGAAATTAATATTCAATATGAATAAGGAAGAATGTTTAATTGAAAATTTTAAATTACAGTATATAAAATCATTTATTAAATTTGTTATTTATCTTTTACATAATCATTTAGGACAATATATTTTTTTGTATCTTATAGATAAACAGTCGAATATGTTAAAATCAGATCTCAACTCAATATAAAATAAGTTCAGTACTAACTAATATTTGTAAATAAAATTGTTCAATCATCTTGATAAGCGTAACAATTTAGTCTTTTGTAAACGTCTTTACTAATTCATCAGAGGTCCATTTACTGGAGGTTCTTGTTTACGTTTGAAAAGAGCTTCAATAAATTTCCTGAATCTTTCGGACCTTATCTTTCTCTGAAAAATATTTAACAACATTAAAATAATATTCTAAATTTCAATTAGTAATAGAATATCAAAATTACTCACAGACATGACGTCATGAAGTTCTCTTTTGTACTGTCTTTTATAAATATCACAAATTTCATCGTAGCTCACTCTTTTGTCCATTATAGCTAATCGAATCAAACTATTGTAATCTACTATGTCTCCTTCGAGACATTCATGAAGTCTTCGTGCAAAAAAATTATTTTCACCTTTCGCATAATAGACTGTAATAAAATATTTGAAATTTTACTAAACAATCTTTCACATTTAATAATATTTCTTCCTTTTATTTCTAAGCACTTACCGATACTTAAAAATGTTCTCTTAAGGTCACCAGAATATTTTTCTATTATTGTGTTTTCCAAATATTTTCCAGACTGTTTATAATATTCCATGGCAAATTGAAAAACGTCAGAAGGATAGTTTACCAGGAAATCAAGAAAAGATAATTCATCTTCAACAATTGCTACAACATCTGTAGATTGAAAAATAAATATTTAATTAACACTTTATAATAAACAGAACAATTTTATTTTATTCTGTTATTAAATTTGAAAATACTTACTGTCAAACTTAAATATATGTGATTGAAGTTTTTCTGATGAATATAGTAGACGTCTAAAGAATTCAAGTGTGAACGTCATATCTCTGTCTATGCTTCGGAAAAAGACTATTGTATACGAAAAAAAAATAAAGCCATAAGTAATGAATTAATGTTAAAAAATAATGTATAATTATTACAATTTTACTTACTTTCAGAATAACCCATGCGAATCTGATTAATAATGGAATTATTGGAAGTACCAAAAATATCAATGAGAGCTCTTTCATCAGCACCTATTCCAAAAAGGGCACTGTGTATTTCTCTGGCATAATAATAGTTTCGTGGGATCATCCAAGAAATCACTGCTTTTTCCAATTCTCCAGTTAAGATGCTTCTTAAACTTTTCAATAAATCAAGTTTATAAAGTTCTTGGTATGATGCCTGGAGTTCAATTATTTCCTGATGAGTATGAGCTGATATTATTTTGATAATGGTATCTTCATCTGGCTTTTGAGAGTTGATTGCTTCATAAAGTTTAACCAAAACTACAAAAAATGAAAAAGTAATTACCACAAAAATTCTATATAGCTTTATAAAAAATTATTAATTATATAATAAAATATTCTAAATACCATTTGATGACATCTGCGACGATGGGAAAAGTATTGATGATGAATCGAAGTGACTTTTCACAATTCGGTGTTCTTCGGGTGATTTCTCCTCAGATGGATTGTTTTTCGGTAGATTCTGTGTAGTTGGGTTCTCCGTAGATGGATTGTTTTTATGTAATCCAGTTAAAGGTTGTAGTATGAAATCTATTAATCCATTCCAAGAATGGGTATGGCTCATTGAAATATTCAAATCAGAACGAACAAGACTTACAAGGCCTACACAGACAGCGAACCCCAACAATAGACGCATTTTCTGTAATTAAAATGATTTAATTTTGATGAAAAATTCTTAATTGTTGAAACAATATATAACTTTATGTAAACAGTATTAATTAAATGAAAGATAAATTTTTACTAGTTTTTGAAAAGTAAAAATTAACAAATTGAATAAATTGTTATAAATAAATTCTTACCAAAAAAAAATTGTATGTCAACAGGAGAAGACTTCAAATCACCTTAGAACAGTTGAGAATATGTCAGGTACAAGAAAACCCAGCTATTTATTTCATGAAATTGCTCCCAAAAGAGGAGTGGGGAAATTATCCTTACCTAAGAAAGTTATTCATTAAAGTATTTCTAGCTTTTGACTAATTTAGAAACATAATTAAATACATTGTTATTTAATTATATTTTGAGATTACCTATTAGTTATTGCTTCATTTCACATAATCTTTGTTTTTGTTATGTTGGAATATTTACAATTTTATCTATGACTTAATTTTATCAGTGATAATATTCAGATAACTTTAATTAGAAAACCATGCAATAGACTAATTACTCTTACAGCAGAAGAGAAAAGTGGTTATTTAAATATGAGATAATAATTAATAACTGTTTTTTTAAAAATATTTCTTTCAGCAGAATTGGATATTATACTGGGGGTGCCATCTTAGAAGTATCATGGAAAACTCAACTTTGCTGCTGGCTCAAAGCAACAAGTCTCCACAGGATAATGGCAAATAGCAGAATTCATCATGATATGGTAAGTTTTTGAACACTATATTGTGACTGTTTAATGGTTAAATAGATTGCTCTGTTGCAAAAAATTGATTGCTATTTCTTTAGATGGCAATAGGCTGTCAATGTTGTGATTAATATGTTGAATTCATTTTTATTCAATGAAATTTTAAAGTGCAACTGCGAATGCATGATCATTGAAGCAGGTAAACAATTCAAAGTGTCATAAATAAGAAACTTTACTTATTTTCTTTGCAATTTCTTCATTGCTAGAGGACAAATAAATTAATGAATAGGAAAATATGGTGATAATTGTTATTATCAGAGACAATGTAATAATTCATGTAAACAATTTTCATCATAAAATTAGTTGATAAGTTTCATCATTTAATGACTCATGTTGTTACAAAACTCAAATAGCTATTAGATTATCTATTCTAGAACTTTCAAACTATTTATATCAATGATGTTGGAAACTTCAGTCAGCAAATGTTAATTAAGGTACTTGGAGTAGTTACACACATGTGTGAAAATAAAGCAAAACTTTATGTAGAAATTATGGATGGATCAATGGATACTATTTGAAAAATTTTGAAGAATTTATTGGCATAATTATTTCCAATAGAATTCAAAGAAAATAAAAATTGTTGGTCAATGAAAAATCCTAACTAATATATGAGCAATGATTCTGAATGATAGATATAAATAATTATAATTATAATTAATTGAAAATTGTCCAACAGTTTTATTTTGTTTTATTCAATTGAAGACTATATTGCAAATATTCTTCAACAAGTTTGATTCAATTTTATTCATTTATTTATTCATAATTATTGTACAATGTTTTATCTTATTCTCATATGTGTGTATTATGATTTCAGAAACTATAATTTATGATTATCAACTCAATTGGAAAAAGAAGATTCTAAATCAATTTAATCTTATCTTCAAATTCATTGATATTCCCTAAGAAGGATCTATTCCTAACCATTTGGTTGTTAGATAGCTTCCAGAGAGATGTTCTCGTGTAGCAAATGGTAATGAATAAAGAATCCATGACAACATAATAGAGCCATGAAGTTGGTTTTGACTACTTTACAGCATCAGAATATGTAGTAGGGAGTTAAGGATTAAAATATGTGATTCTCGTGCATAATTTAAAAATGAATGAACTGTAGAAATAGACTGTGCGTAAGCGTGTCCACGTAGTCAACAAATTTATACATATAAAATTCTCAATCCCCTCATAGCTCCTGTCAAGCTGCCAGAATCCGGGTGTAGAAGTAGCTCGAACGATGTGTTCTTCGCGAGAGCTCGTGCAACCAGGAATAAAAGGAAGAAAAAAAAGAGAGAAGAGAATCCAGGGCGCCACAGCTGGCCGTGGCGAATTTCTTCTCCACGGGGGTCTTAGCCTCTCGAGGCGTTTGTATCCGATGATGATCCCCACTACCCTCAGCCTATTCCATCCCCTCAAGTGTTTAGTTGTAGCAAGCAGTCGATCATCGTTCTTGACGCCCGTCCTCATAAAACCCCGTTACGTCGTCCATTATCCTATCATTGTGCAAGCGCTAATATTATTATTATTATCGATGTCTATTGTCATAATCGTAATGTGCTATGCAAGCTAGTCACTTCTAAAGGGGAATTCTTCAAACATTATAGATATGATACACCCCAACATTTCTAATGAAACATTTATGTCTGTAATGATACTTTACTTGGGGTGACAGGCGTTTTAATTATTTATTGATCATGTTTAAGATAATTGACTACACAGAAAAAAAATATTCATCCAGAAGTGTATTGTACAGGTTTTCAATTATTTTATTTTATTTTAAAAATAGCTTTTGAAAGTTTTATTGGATCATGAGTATCCTTTAGATTGGTTATAGAGATTTTTTAGCTTCAAATAAGTGATAAGTATTGAAATGATATACGAATAGAACTGATACATAAAGAAATAAACCAAGAAATGGAAATAAAGTAAAAGAAGTTTGGTAAACGTGATTCGGCGTGACTCGTGCAGCTCGTTATTCGTGCAATCTACACAATGTGCTCGTCAGCGCGCACAAGCATTTATCTTGTATTATGCTGAATCAAATAAGGGACTAAGCGGTTAAATTGCAAGTGTAGTCAATAGTATAGGAAGAACCTGGACAGACGTATGAATTGTTGAAGGCTAGAGCAAGATAACAGGTGCAAGAATGAAGCATATGGTCATCATCATAAATGCACGCTGTAATAAATTTATATTCTACTTCACTTCCTTTTTTTTTCAAACTTATTATGCATGTTTGATTGAGAATTTTCTGTGTCAGATATCAAAGCATAATATTTTACAGCACTCAAAAGAAATATATATGTGTTAAAAAAAATTGTATTTCTGTATGAAGAAATTGGAGTAATATATTACTATAATTTTCCTAATTCTTTAAAAACATTTTCCAGCCTCCGTGAAGATTAAAATATTTTTAGAAAATAATATAGTTTTTGCAGAAATGTTCCAATAGAAAACCAAAAGACTTCATGACACCAAAGATCTATTAAACATCATCATAATTCACCTTATGGCCATCACCTTCCAAAAAAAAAGAAACCAGGTAATACGTTCTTTTTCTAATAATGGTCTGTCTGAAAGCTAAAGTGTCTATTATCATCGTTGGAGTATCAATGGTCTCGTAATACAGGTGCAAAAGTGACTCCTGGCTATTTTTATTTTTAGCTGGTCATTGAGAAAATTTCTTACCGGTGACAACTGCTCAGAATTTCCAGTCTTCCCAACTAGAACCCGCTGAGTATTCAACTTTAGAGAGTCTTGAATGGAAGATCCCTAACAATATATCAAACATATTTCTTGCTAGCTTCTTCAGATTGTCACATTTTACACTCTCTCGGTCGCCTACTCTTGACATAACAATAATCATGGTACCTAGGGCCCTCTAAATGAACACAAAAGGTCCATTTGTCAGGCTAGTCTATCGATGAACACTTCATTTTATGAAGGCGTTCCGCAAATTTTAGTTGAGTCGTCATTCGATTCATAAGTCACGCTTGGAGATGACCAAATGCTTCAAAATATTTTACAGCATTTGAGAGACTTTCCTCTCACTTTTACCTGACATCTTCTCACATATGATGACTTGATGAAGGAATGAAATAGGGATCGAGCTACAGTTATATAATATGATGTATAATGGAAATGATCCATTGAATGGGCTTCAGAATTATACAAGTTTCCTTGCCATCCTGCAATCTCACTGCCTACTCATCCGTTATAGTTGCAAAAATGACAATATCTATAGGTGTTCTTTATCCCTGACATTCCAGTCATGCTTGTGATGCATCTTAATGAGATTTAATGATGAAACTTCATGATTATTACAATTTATGGCATTGACCTTTTGGAGATGTTGATTCTTATCAACTCGACTCTAATGTTGCATTGGAGACATTATATTATTTTGGATCATTGCAAGTGTTATCATTTTTTAATCCTTTTATTTAATTCATCAAAAATTAGTGCTATTAATCAATTAAATTGCTTGATCTATTAAATCCATTCTAATTTCATAAGCAATTAATAATATTAAACAATATTAATTTGTCGTTCTTTGTTTATCAACTTTGCAGAAAAGAAACCACAACAAATATTTCATTGAAACTATTCTATTACTTTGTTGATTATTCTGCTAATTTTTGTACAATGTACTTACCTACTTCTTTTGACTGTAATACAAAGCAAACTTCAAATACTATATTGAGTGAGAGATTAAATTTCAACATTGATAATATCTCAATTGTTTAATGTATGCTTCTGAAAGGGTCTATCATAATCGAGTACTATTTTTATGCTGTTTACAAACAGCTTGTCGTCACAGTATCAGGAGTCAAACCGACTGGAGGGGTAGCTAGCCAGGCTTATCGAGGGGGAAATGAAGGGAAGAACTGTAGGGGATGAAACGCCTGTGGATAAGGCATTGCGTGGGGGCGAGTTTTGATGTTTCCCTGTCTGTTGAACTATACAACAGCACTTTCTGTCCCTTGCACAACGATTTGTCCGCTCGTGGCAAAATACTTTTGTACCATTTCATTGCTCGTATATTGAAGGCTGAGAATCAAAAGAATTAATGTTCTATAAATTGTTACAAAACTCTGACAATTAATTTAATGATGTAATGTGCTGTGATTATCATTTTTATTAATTCTTCTACTCTCTGGTTCTGAACATTTACAATAATTAATTGATTCTCCTTAACTCTTTTTTAATGAATACAAACATTTTGCAGAAATCATGTATACACATTTTTTGATTAAAAATATTGGAAGATTATTAATTGGAATTGACTTTAAAATTGAAAAAAAAAACTGCTAGAATATTTGGTAAATACTTTAGAAGTTTTTGACAAAGTTTCAATGCTGATGTGGATGATTTGAAAATGAAAGTTAGGAATGAGGAAATGATTGAAAGATCTAGCACAGGTAGATGAAAATGAAGGAAAGAATAGACTTAAAACTGGTATACTATAGTATTTGTGGGGTAATTGAAATCCAAAACTGTATCACTGTCTGTCTTGAAGATTTTTTTTGTTAAAATTTTAACATTTTAAAATAGATATTTCCAAGTTGTCAGGTCAAAGTCCCTCATGTCCCTAGATCAGCTTTCAATGTAGGCTTCAAAAATCAGATAGCAGGTCACCAAA